GAAACAAAGGTTCCCTATGGAATGTATGACTTAATTTTTAGAGGGCACCCTATTACAGAACAGGTTTTAGTCTAGAAATAGGAGGAGAATAATTTGGGGTATCTTCAGAAGATACAGATCTTGTCTCTTGTAAAACAGGTAGCATGGAGAGAAACATGTCCACTTCTGACAGATTTTCAACAACTGTGTGTTCAGGAGGTGGACCAGGAAAACTGGAAAAGGGACTTTGTTGCAGCTCTATACTACCTTAATAAATATTTCAACTGGAGATCTGGAATTCTAATGGCAGCCTGGGGGGGGGGGCAAACATAGCAGTGGCAAGTTGGGGTAAGAAATAGAATCAGCAGTCTTCTAAGAATCACAGCTGCTAAAATTAGAGAAATAATACTTAGAATAGTATACATGTGACATTATAGTCCAGTTACAACGCTTTTCACATATTTCTCCTTCAGCTGGAAGAGCTACGCTACTGAAGGTAAATGGGTGCATATGTGATGTAAGTGTCCCAAAGTCCATGAATTCTGGATTAAAATATTTGATAGCATATCTGATATCTTCTCACAAATTGTTATCCCATCACGGTTATTGTGCTTCTGTTCATCCCAAGACAACCAAGAGGGTCAAATATTCCACAAAGACTTATTAAAGTTCATGCTGGTTACAGCTCAGATAGTAAAAGCACACCACTGGAACTTTGCAGTTGGTCTTACAACAATACTGGTTCAAAAAGCTTTGGAAGATTGCGTTAGCAGAGCGGCTTAACCATCATCATAGGTCTCTTTAGGGAGTTTCAGAACGAGATGGTTTCATGAACATGTGGCTCCTATTTTTTCCAGATATTGATAGGAGAACTCGGAGACCAATGTCAAAAATCATTCTGGTTCCATTTTTATTGTATGTTTATGAGAAATTTACTTTGTTTTCCTTGTTGTGGTGGATGAATATTAGTATGATGAATAAAATAATGAAGTAAAAAGGTTAAAATACCACTAACACAATCAGAATATTCACCAGGAGACATTTTATATATCATAGAAAGTGGCATAAATGCCAGATCTGTATAATCCGTGAAAATATATTTTGCTGTCAGGCCTGGAAAACAAAATAGGCTGAATTATTCTGAATTAATAACAAATGCTGTGTTCTCTGCTTGTTCACATCACCTTTGTTCTTCACTTCACTTGTAATAAATTATTGCTTGCAGCTGAGCAGATCAAAATGTCATTTCCTAGAAGTGGGAATTTTTCTGTCTGACCTGTGGCATTTATTCTAGCATGTTGTCATACACACAGTGTACCATTTTGCAAAAAAGGCATGCATTCTCTCTAAAGATGGAGCTGAACTCTATTTTTGAACAGTTTCTTTACTTAGGAGCCAGGTGACTTCCTGACTTTGCTACTGCAGTATTTTATAATCATTTATTCCCGCAGACTGCAAAAGGCATTAAGGTGCTTATTTTTTAACATCACTCTTCTCTGGTGATTATAACACCTGAAAGTTGCATCCAATGTTGCAGCACTTGTCCTTCCTGGAACTCGGTATCTTAGCTGATTCTATTAAAGCGAAGTCCCGAGCAATAATAGTAAGTGGACAGTTTCTTGTAGGAAAGGGCAAAACGCTTATTATTCAGATAAAACAAGTGCACAGTGGGGTGTCCAGTAGGGTGGGCACCCCGAGTTCAACAAGTTTCAAGTTTTTATACAATTCTTTAAAAAGAACAAAAGTATGCAGCGGTTGATTGGGCCCTGAGGAATATATGCTCACTGATTAGAATATCTGGCATTTCAGGGAAGCAGTTGCCTATGCGCAGAGCAGCTTTTCTTTCTGATTGTATGGGCAGGTAGGGGCATAACAGTGCTGCTGGAAGTACAAATACATCTCTTCGTAATAACAGAAACATTTCCCCTGGGTTCATCCTGAGACTTATTCTTTATTCCAAATTGATTGTTTGGTGGTGGCAGAACTAGATGCTAAAGAAAATGCTGTGCTTCTCAGGATATGTAGGTGTACAGATGAAATATAAAACATCAAGATTTATTCAGCATACTGTGTGCCTCTTGTTATATTTATGTATGTATGGAACATATTAGGAAATTGAAATACCAGCTATTATCCTGTGGACCAGCTAGTCTAGTTGTTACTGTGAATGCCTTCCCAGCAACTCTTCCTTGTTTCAAATGGAAGAAAGTTGTATCAATTCTTTTACAAGCTTTCAGCTGAACCACGCTTTGTTTTATAGCGGTGTCAGTAGATGGTAGTTCCAGCAGTAGTGAGAAGGAGGTGAGTAAATTGGGGGAAAATTGCTTCTAGCAGACACCATAAACTAAAGCTGCAGTCCCTACCTCCTCAAGAGAAGGTGGCAGCAAAGCCCAGACCGACCACCCACTGGGGAAAGAGCATGATGATAAACCAGTGTTTGATAAAGCTGTCTGTTGCTTGCCATCTGGTCTTTTAAGATGGTCACAGCACTGTGAATTTGCAACGGAGCTCTCATTTTATATTTTGTTGGTATACTCTACTTCTGTGTTTCTGGTATTAAAGGGAATATGTCAGACTAAATATCCTGCCCAGACTGAACTTTGTTCTTTGATATGATGGTAAATTTACTGCCATTGGCAGTCTAACAGTCAGTCTTCTCACCTGCTAAGATAGTCTGAGATTTAAAAAAATAGAGGTAAATAACACAAGAATGTGTCATCAAACACAAGAATGAAGGGAATAAACAATGATAATAATCCCTTGTGCACTCCAGAATGCAGAGTTGAGATGCCCAGTGTGGTGTAGTGGATAGAGTGATGGACTAGGATTCAGAAGGAGCCTGGGTTTGAATCCTGACTTAGCTATGGAAATTCATGGGATGTGTGGCACTGATAAAACCACTGCTTAAGTATCACATTTACCTTGAAAGCCCTATTTGGCTTTCCACCCTACCTAGGTTCTCACTTGATGGCACATAAAAACAAATGGTATTCTCTCCTGGTTCTTGTGATAGTTGCTGTTAAGTCTGCAAGGGGATAACACAGTTAGGGTGTGACTGGGTTAGTTTTGAAAATGCTAGCAAGAAAATAAATATAAGGTTGTTGAACTCCAATGGGAACAAAAGCATATATATATATATATAGTGGATATTTTAAGAAAGAAACTTGCTGCAATGTTCTCAGATTTTATTATGATGAGCATTATTTAAGTCAAGAAAACAATCAGCCTTTTCAAATTAGCCTGCATCTGCACTGCTCTATCCTTGCAAATTGACAGCAAGAGAGAAAAAGATTTTTTTTTTATGATGGAAGTTATTATTCTTATCCTTAGTGCAGATGGAAGGCAATCCAAGCAGAGAAAAAGATAGCATGGAATGGGAAACAAAAGCAGTACTAAAAACACATCCAAAGCTGTAATGCATAACAATTCTTTTAAAAACGCCACTTAGTCACTGAAGGAAAGCTTGCCTGAAGAAAAAGGTCTTTGCCTGTCAGCAAAAGGACAGCAAAGATGGAGCCAGTCTCTCCTCCTGTAGGAGAAAGCTCCAAAGTATCAAAACAGTAACAGAGAAGGCTCTCTCTTATGTCCCCACCAAACACACCGGTGAAGGTGGTGGGATTGAGAGAAAGGCCTCTCCTGATTATCTTAATGCCCAAGCAGGCTCATAATGGGAGATACCATCCCGGTATGAGGTCCAGGATGGTATGAGGTCTCCTGCCTTGGGCACAGGGTTGGACTAGAAGACCTTCAAGGTCCCTTCCAACCCTACAATGAGTCTATGATTCTACAGTATATGACATGGTCTTTGAAACAGTTTGGACCCAAGCCGTTTAGTTATTTATAGGTCAGAACCAGCACTTTGAATTGTGCCCAGAAGTGGATCGGCATCCACTGCTGTCACAGAGGGACTATGTGATCCCTATAACCAGCCCCAGCCAGCACAGAGGGACTATGTGATCTCTATAACCAGCCCGAGCCAGCAATCTGCATTTGAGACCTGCTGAAGTTCCCTGACACATTCCATAGGCAGCCCCACCTAGAATGTGTTACAATTATTCAGCTGAGGTACGTGTCACCATGAACAAATCAGACCTCTCCAGGAATGGGCACCCCTGGTGCAGTAGCTTTAATTGGACAAATGCACTCCTGAGCATCCAGGATGAGGAATGAATCCAGGAGTACCTGCAAGCTGCACACCTGTGTTTTCAGAGGGATTGGAACACCATCCAGCACAGGCAACATCCCTGTTCCTTGCTTTGCCTTTCAACTGACCAAGAGCACCTGTGGCTTGTCTGGATTAAGTTTCAGTTAATTCACCCTCTTTCAGTCCATTACTGATACTGGACACTGATCTAGAGCTGAAACAGCTTCCTAGGATTTAGATGGCAAGGAGAGGTAGGTTTGATTTGAACGAAAAGGTCTGTGTTGGGGTTCTCATTACAAAAGATCTCTGGAATTGTTGTTTGCATGGCACTTTGGTTGCTGCTTGGCCTAGAAGTTACAGGTAAATCAATTTAGAGACATATCTGTGCCAGAAACATAATCTTGGTTAGGTCTGGGGGTGTAACAAAAAAGCAGGAAAAAGTTCTTCTCTTGGGTCTTTCCTCCTATTGTTGACCAGAGCCCTCATGAATAATTACAGTGGACCTTCGGGCATCAATCTAAATTACATTAGCGACTCTTTGTTAAGAAGTCAGCATTTGCATTTGTTATCCTATAAACATCATTTGACTGGTACAGAACTTAAAAAACACTGTACTGTAACTTCTTCACTAGCAGCAATTTACTTCTGAGCTTTCTGCTGCTGGACCTAAGACCAATAGGATTCTAGCCACTATTTCTGGAAAATAGCTACTAGGAAGGAAGTTGGAGGCAAAGGTATAATCTTGGTTTTGATCCTAGTTGAATTCAAAGGAGGTTCTAAATTCTGCCAGAGCTAATGGGAATATAACATACCAAAGGTATCTATGCTTGCAAATACATCTTTTTCTTTTCTTTTCTACCTCCCCATTCCTTTAAAGGTCATTAGACAGAAAACCACAGAGACCTGTATTAGGAAAATCACGGACTCTTCCAAGCATTCCTCAGTCACCTGTGATAAGCCGAGTTCCTCTTCTAGATTCAAAGTTGTACAGGAAAGAAATGCCAGAACATAAACAATACAGGAATCACTCTGCCCCTGAATATCAGAAAGGGTGCACAGTGCCTTCTACTGGTAAGTATCAGGATCCTTTTTTTAAGAAAAATTGTTCTACAAATTCAATATATACTCTGACACAGACTTCAGGACAGCTTTTCTGCAAGTTTTCAATGGTGCTTTAAATTTTTTTCAAAAAATATAGTTTTGAGCATTTGTCATTAAAGTCATTTCACTTCAGGAAAATTACTCCTTATTTTAATTTCAGTTTTTTTGTCTTTGGTTAATAGATTTATAAGTTGCCAAATTAAGATCTATCATGTTGTGTATATAGCGGTGTATGAAGCTCAGTTTTATTTTTAATGTGGTGAGTTTAACAGAATTTCAATGACCAGGGACTGCATAAAGTTGTGAATAATTTCAAAATTTTGTCTGTGGAAGCAAAATATGAAACCATTGGAATAGGTTTCAGGAGTCAACTTTATGCTTTGAAAGCAAATTTCAGCATCTTTTATTCTGTTCACTGGCTAGGAATGCCTTCATTTATTTCTTCAAATTAAAACTGACAGAACAATTTCTTATGAGGGAAAAATACATGATACAATAAATAAGTAAACAGTAAAAAGAATATTGTCTTAGTACTGCAAGACGCATGCTGTATTTTAATAAATATAGTGTTGATCTAGTGTTAGAAAACATTCAGAGTACTTCACTTCTTACAGTAGTCTTGCGATGTTGGCCAGCACTTTAATTCTTATATTTCCAATATAGTGTATATGTAAAGTCTGCATTATGTTCACAGTTGAAGTAGTCACTAATTATGACTTGAAGTTTTTTGGCTAATGTTGCAAGCTTATATACAAAAGGTGAATTAATGCAGAGGCTTCAGAGGCTAGCATCATTCCTAGTTGCCTTTGTGCGAAGTGCCAATCAAAACTACATCTGTGGGCAGTTTCTTGATCAGCGCTACACACAAGGCAAAGAAATAAAAAAATGGAATGGTAACATCTGAATAGGAAACGCCAGCTTCATGTGCTGGTCATACAGGGCTCAATGGGACCTCAACAAGCCATAAAACATTCAGTTGAATTGCATTGTGGTATCTAGCATTTGTACATTTAGCCTGAAATAGGTACCACAATCGGTTTTTGTGGTAGTTCTGTGACTTATTCTAGTGCTCTTATTTCATGACAATTGTCTAGTAAATATGGCTTCTTTTGTCCACTCAGAAGTTGCTGTTACTGCTGTTACTGTTCAGCTGCTATACAGATGATTTCTGATCAGAAAAAGAACCAGAATGTGATTCGTGTGAATGATTTGTGACTATTTACAGATAGGTGTGTTGTATTTGGATGTTGCCATTTTGGACTGTATTCTGTAATACAGGACATTGGACAAGAAGAGTTACTGGAATATGGTTCCCTATTGTTGTGTATGTGTGTGTGGCTTGATAAATCACCCCTCTTGAGTTTTGTACAAGTGGGAAACAAGGCTGGCCTTTCTTACTCTTAGTCATTCCAAACATTTTTCTGACATACCGATTTTCAACCCAGAGTGGGTACTGAAATGTGGTTCTTGGGGTTGTTTTCAGACTTGCTGCCATCAGTCCCCTCTAGTCACATGTGTGTCATGAATTTATTTGGTTTGTCCTACTTGGAGGCTGAATTCCAGGTTGTTTTGCAGAATACAGATCCTCTGGCCACTGGAATATGGTATCCAACCTTTTGATGTATATTTAAATGTGATGGCAAGATTGTTTCTTCTTCGGACACTCCTTCTACAATGAATACACTATTTTAATGCCTACTCTGTACTTTAATCTATTTTATTTTATTGTTGCCATAATTGTCAGTTGCAAAAAACAGCTCTGACAATTGCTTTTTGTGTGTGTGACAAGTGGGTAACTGATGAAAAAAAGAGTCAATTTCTGGGATTTTCCCTTGCTTGGAGGCGTGAAAGGTAGTGAGCAGAAGAGGGCATCCTGTTGATCCTCTTGACAGCTGTCATTGATGTCATCAGTATTCAAGCTGCCCTTTGCTATGCATAGCTTGGCATCCTTTTTCCTGGTGGCAGTTCCAGCACAATATTGTGAAGCAATATCAGGCTATTTCCTGGCATTCTGAATTGATATTTATTTATTTATTATTTATTAAATTTATAAATTTATACTTCTCCTGATACAGGAGAGTATCCTTGATACAGGAGAATATTCTCATTCTTACCACTGGCATTCAATTTGAAAAGCTGAATATAATCTCTACCCACAAAAAATGTTCACAATATTCTCATTCTTACCTTTTCTTTTGAAGCATTAGTTGATTGTATATTGCTTTTGGCTTCTGCTTACAACTGTCATGAGTGCATCTGGCATGCATCTATCTTTCTGTCTTTCTGTCTGTGAAATACTTTACAGAATTTTAAAAAATAACAGCTGTACTGACACAGAATCATGTCCACAATCCATAGTAGAAGTGGTCTGTCACGTCACTTTCCCACCAAAATTTGGAACAACATGCAGAGAAGAAAGACCTGAGATCAGCCTTTTTTTGCCTCTTCTTTCCCCTCTCTTCCCAACATACTTCTTGTTTTTAACATCTCACTGAAGACAGGAAAATGTTCCTGAAAGTTTGTGTATGCTTGTGAATCACTGTCTGCACTCTTTCTACATTTTTGTGCGTCTAAAAGGAATCAGTTATCTTCCCTAGATCCTTGTGTTACGTTAACTATAAGAATTTATCAGTTCAAAATAATAGCATTTATTAAGTGCATAGAAATTAGTCTATTTACATATTAATAAGCTACTGTGACACAATGACCCAACTCAGAGTCGTTCAGTCTTCGCAGTGATGCGTAATGACATTGGTGGAAAACAATGGGAATGTTGCTTTATACTTAGAAAATACGTGAGAAGCAACTGTGATTTTGACTCTTTTTTTGGTGGCAAAACCATTTATTTTGGCATCTAAATTCATGGTTGTGGATCCTTCCTCTCTCCCCTCCCTCCTCAGGAGATGCATGGCAGCTAGAAGATGACTGCACTGACTCTATGAGGGATCCAGCCCTTCAGCCAAGGCTGTGCACATCAATAGATGAGCCGCCATTCAGGTCCTTGAGAACTCGGTCCTTCTACATGAGGAAAAGCCTCTCGGTGGACAACCATTTGAGCTCCCTGAGCTATTCTATTCATCCGACAGAAACCAAAACAGAGCGAGTCAAAAACAAACTTCGGAGGCAGTTTGTGAGTACCAAATGCCTGAGTCTCATACTTTTGCATGCTTCATGTGGTGTGTGTGAGTATATAAGGGTGTGGACCACGTACAAATAACATAACTACATCTGACATGCTTTTCACCTTTGGAATATATAGTTTAAGTCCTTCATTTATCAGAAATAAGAAATCCGTTTTCTGAATGTTGTCACAGATTTTAACTCTCGAAAATGAGATTGAGGTTGCTGAAAGCCTTTGATCCAGAAACCATCCAGTACTAGAGTAGCAGTAGATGCTTCATGTTGCCTACAAGGTAGATGTACCAGAATAAGAAGTACCTGTGAGACACATATAGCGATACAGTCATACATTGTATGAGAAATATAAAATAGAAGTGGTGCAAGGCAGTGGAAGAAGCATGCATCTCTTGGGTATGAGAGATGAATGGAAAGAGTTGAAAGCTGCACACCAAATGCAGTGTTGTTCAAAACAGGCTTGCAGTCCTACAACCTGTTGATGAGGTGTACCAAATCAACAGGTTGTACAGGGATATGCTACATAACTTTGAAAAACTAATAAAAATGGATAGAAAGGGAATGGCCTTTTCTTAGCTTTTTTTTTAGTTAAAATAGACAGATGTGAGCAGGGAACAGTGCATTTTTTTCTCAATGAACTTACAATTACAACTTGGCTTATGCTAAGTAACAATATTTCGGCCAATATCTGGGCCACAAATTTGTGTTCACTGCACATGGTAGTAAGAATGGGAATGGGATAAAATGGGCTCAAAATGATTGCTTTGGCGTGCACTATGACACAAATATGTACTTTTCCGAGGTTGTTTTTGGACAATTTGCATCTCAAATTGTTCCAGCTCTCAAAAGTTAAAAAAAATAATCATGTCCCAGTGGTCTGTTACTGCTTCCCCCCACCCTATTATTTTTGGAAAAGGTGTAATAATTTGACATAATACTGAAGAAGTGTGTGGTTTTTTTGGCACAGCACTGAGTAACTATTTTTTTAAAAAAACAGGAGAACAGAGAATACAAAGGAGTGTGTTGGGGGTTGGAGTTCATCCTTAACATCATCTTAGGAGAGGCAGAAAAAGTAAATGCCAGTTAACTGCACTGGGACCTGGGGGAAGAGGAAGGAACAAAATACAGGTGGAAAAGCTGCCAGATTGTCCTGGGCTTTCGTGTTTGTGCCCTTAGTGCCACTGCCTCTGTGCTGCTTAAGTCTCCTTCCCCTCTCATGGAAGCTTGTCAGCTAGCCATTCTCTCTCTCTCTCTCTCTCTCCTGTTGTCAAGAAGAGGATGAGAAGAAAGTGGGGAAGAAAGAGAGAGAGAGGGAGAGAGGAAAGATGAGCCTAGAAAAATGTGGGGCTAACTAGCTACTAGCAGCTGACAGGAGTACCTGCTCTTATCACCCCATAACCCCCAATTCAGCCGCCATCACGCAACTCCTTTGCCCTCCAGCAGTTGGCTGTCACCACTTTCTCCTCCACCAGCTTCATCCTCCCCACTCTTTCAAGCCTTTGTTATCCATTTATCTGCCATAGAGCTGAAGAAACTAATTATTTAAAAAAAACCCAAAAACATTTGGAGCAGAAACAACCAAAAAGGAGGGAGTGTTCGAACTGTACATTGGCAAACCACCCCCTGCTGAAGATGTCACTGTAAAAGTCACCCTATAGCGCACCCCTCACTGCTTCTTGGTGATCACAATTGCCAGAAACGGGAAATGTTGCACTCCCATTTGTTCCAGAAAAGCAGAAGACTCTGATGGTGTCCAAAAAAGTGAAAATACACATAGATTTTTGGAGTCATCACAAAATATATTGAATTTAATGTCCAAACAGCGGGACAAAATGGGGGATAATTTTTTATGTGGACAATCTCTTAATCTGAGATACTGGTAGAAGAAGAATATAAAGATATTTTGTTGGAAAACATCTTTATAACATAGTACAGGTGCAGAAATGACATATGGAACACACTGGTCAGTGAAATCTGTTTAATATTTAATTGGTTCATTTCTTAATTTCTGAAACGGACCTGATCAGGAGAGTGATATGCTTAGTTCCTTACCTCATTACCAGCCCCAGGATTGTAATGAAGGGATCAGGTGTTCCTCTACTGAAAGGTAATACTGGATAGAATTGCCATTTTGTATGCAAGAGCATGAAAATAATAGGAAAGGGAGCAATGAAACCAGGAGGAATCATTGTAAACACTTGTGGGTAGAAGGCAGAGCTTAAAATTCATGGGATAAAACTGCCCATCAGTTGTTTCACACTGTTTCGGAGAACAAGTATCTTTGTATTTGTCATCACGTGTAGTTTCTCTGTCTGATAAATAGCCCTACAATTGCTTAAATTTCCAGTGTCTTCAAATTTGTCTGTTTGAGTGAGTCCCCAGCAATCTTGTTTTTATGTTATGTGATAACAACCCCTTTGGTGGATTTTACCAAGATGAAATTCAGAATATATGTGACATTTGGCTCCTAGTGTTATGGATCAAAAGGTATTGTTCAATTAGCCTGTCTTCCTCCATTTTGGATATTTTTGTGAAAGAAAAAAGATGTATGAAGCAGTGGGAAAGGAAGATGAAATTACAAGTAGAAGATGGCATCGTTTGGAAGACTCCAGCCCTGATAAAACTCTATGAGTGAAGCATGGAGACTGCAGAGTAAAAGCCTTGTCTGGAAGCATTAGATGAATGCTGATATACAATCCACATCCTGCAAATTGCAGTCTTGTAAAGCAAGACATTCCAATATAACAGACAGTAAGTGAATGGAAGCAGGTATTTTTGGTTCTGTCAGTTTTGGTGAAAAGCAGGAAACATCAAAAGGATTTCCAATGTTTAGAGTGAGTCTGTTTTGCTTTGGGGTAAGAAACAATCTTTATTCTGCTAGTTCTTTCTCTGTTATTTTATCCTAAATATTGAGAAGGAATTTTCATTTCTGGTAGCTCTGCTTCTTATCTTCTGCTTTGTAATATGTGATCTGGCTTGTTTGTATTAGTTATCCAAAGTTGTTGTTGTTGGGGTCTCTTTTTTTTCCCTGTTCTGTTTTTTTTCCAGCATCTGTGCTTTAGATAGAATAGGTTGAGAAGTTTGGATTTTAATGATCCTCGTGGACAATGGCACTTGAGCAGGATAGCCTCTTGGTCCTTTCTATAGCTGTTGTTCTCAGAATTACAGTATTTTATTAAGTTTATATCTAGTAGTCTACCTATCAAAATGTTGAATCAAAGCAGCTAATAACAGTAAAATGCAAGACTCAGTACTGGAATACTACCTTCTCCCAGTTGGAGAAGGAGCCATTAGTCATCACCCTTTAAATATGTTTCTGCAGCCAACTGACAGTTGCTCTATCCAGCCCACAACTACTTAAGCTTGCTAATCAGAATATCATGGGGCACTTTGTCAAAAGCTTTGCTGAAGTCCAGATATACTATGTCTACAGCATTCCCTCTGTCAGTCAGGGAAGTTACCTGGTCAAAAATGAGATGAGATTAGTCTGGCAGGATTTGTTCCTGACAAATCCAAGTTGGCTTCTAGTCATTACTGGACTTTTTTCTAGGTCCTTGCATAGTGATCACTTTACCTTGGCCTTTTTGAAGATAGAACAACATTAGCCCTCCTCCAGTCATCTGGCGCTTAACCCATTTCCGATGGTTTCAAAAAAATAATAGACAGTGATTCTAAGAGTTCTTCAGCCAGTTCCTTCAGTATTCTTGAATACAGTTCATCCGGCCCTGGAGGTCTGAACTTGTTCAAAGTACTTATTCCTCAACTGTTTATCAGACGCCATATGCAACTCTTTCCCTTCCACTTGGACTTCAAATTTGTCTCCAGGGTCATAGTCTGTCCTTTGGGAATGAAATGGAAAAAAGTATGCATATTTAAAACTAAAAAAGTAATGAAAAAAGTATGTATATACTTGAGATACACAAAGGTACAATAGATGGTTGCAGTACAGCAACAATTATTCCAAAATTCACAGAGTATAGATGATCAAAACTCTAATTAGTCCAGATGGAAGGCACCTCTAAGGTCTTGATCAAGGAAAGGGAACATTATAATAGAGTGTGCTTCCTGAGTCTGTCAGTTTATCTAATTTTTCTTTATTTTTTTTTATCTTGAGATGAATCTATGTAACTAATTAGAATTTTCCACATAGAAAGGCAGTACTAAGGAGCTGGAGCTACCGTCTTATAAAGTGAAAATAAGATAAAATTCTAACTACGTATCTATTCGTTGTAGTACAATTGGCTGTTTAATATTGTCAATCATATTTCCTGTTGGATTTGATTTATTTTATATATTTGTAGGCTTTCTGCAGCACGACATGACTATACTTAGAGACCCAGTGTGGTACAGCAGATAGAGTGTTGGGCTCAGGAGACCTGGGTTCAAATTCCTGTTCAGGGTGGAAATAGTAAAACTACTCCATAAAAATCTTAAATATCTTGAAAACCCTATTAGGATCACTTTAAATGGGAAGTGACCTGATGGCACATAACACAGATACTGATACGTACAGGATTTTATGTCATCTTAATTTAGTGGCACATAACACAGATACTGACACGTACAGGATTTTATGTCATCTTAATTTACATATGGAATATATACTATTTCTACTTCATGTTTAAGGAAACTAGACTGATCTACAACAGCTTACTGTACCCTTTCGTCATCTGTCCACCTACCCTTACATAGTCTGACTTGCAGTGTCTTCTCTATAATTTCCTATGTGATCATTTTACCTGGGAATGCCATAGATTCAACCAGTGACCTTCTGCATGCAAGACAGGTAATTGTGCTGTATAGTAATCAAGTTAGAGAATAATTTGGATTCTTCTGATCTTTCCATCTCCTTCAAACTATCAGATCAGGAAGACTTTGAGAATGGGGTCTTATAGCATATTAAAAATTCCTGTGGATTTTCTAAGTTTGGGCAAAGTAATACAGGCTTAAAAATAGTAGATATAAGTGCTACCAAATCTCCAAAAGTAATTCTTG